CTGGGGGAGATGGGCCTGGGCTCCTCTGGGAATGCAGGGGGAAGAAAGCTGCTCCTCTGGGAATGCAGGGGGAAGAAAGCTGCTCCTCTGGGAATGCAGGGGGCAAAGGCTGCTGTGCTGTTCCCAGGTCAGATTATATCCAGGTAGGAATGCTTGGCTCCTCCCCTGGGCACAGCATCTCTCCATGGGATGATGGAATTTTATCAGCCATGCAGGGACACTCAGTGGCCATGAACAGAAGATAATTAATAATTAATGGTCCATGAACAACAGAGATCTCCTGGTGGGGGATTGGCTGTGGGACAGATAAAGAAAACTGCCCCATGATCAGCAGAGAACTGCCCCACCTCTGACAGATGGCAATAGAACACACACCCCAGCCACATCTTGCAACCTAAGACAAATGTTTTACCTGCTTTCTGTCAGAGGATTTTAATGGCTATACCTCAGGTTCCAACATCCCAAAACACAGAGAGGCTTTAAAAGTTTGGGTCACTGGAGAGTGCTCAAGCTGGGATGTTGGAGCTGTTCCCTGGAGGAAGCAACAGCCACAACGATGGTTAGAAGACAGTCCTGTGATTATTACTCAAACATACTGTGGAGTAAAAGTGACATTTTTCTTTCCATCCCTTGAAAGGGGAACGTAAGGCTCTCTGCCCCAGCCATTCCATTTCAGGAGATGGGGCTGCAGCAGGACTTAACAGCTGCCTCCTCTGCTCAGACAAAATGAGACTAATCCATATATCATTTATCATATCCATGTATCATTTTTTGACAGTCTTACAGAAATCCAGAGGTTCACATGACAGCACAGTGAAACTCAGATATTTAAATGAACCTTGCAAGTTATTTGAACCATCTGAAGCTATTGCAACAATTTTTAGCTTATGCTCAACTTGATATCTAATTGTTTTTCTGTATTTTCTTTGTGTAGAAGATGTAGGAGAGTACTTAATACAACGCTTCACTTTTATATCATAACCAATAAAATTAGATCCAAACAATTCTCAAGTCTGAACTAAATGAGAAAAAAAATAATTAAGCACTATTCTTATCCTGACTTATTAAACCTATTATAATTCATAGCAAATATTGATAATCCTAATCTTGATTTAAGTTTTTAATATCTGAATTTATAAGGTGTCCTACAAAACTGGTGAGATGTGACTATCTTGTTTGAATAAGATTAGATAAATTAGTTACAACTCATAACCAGAAAGCAACATGAGTTTAAAATTATCCAAAGAAATAAAAGTGGGTAAGATAAAAAGTTTAAATTATGATGGTTGTTATAACTTTCACAATTAAAAAAAATTAAGAATTGCAATATACCTACCAAAAAGATCATGGAAAGCTCAGTCTGGTTTGGAATCCTTTAAAGCACTATAACATCATAAAAGAGGTTCAACTTGTTTCTTACAAAAAATAGATACAAAATATTTCTTACCAATAGAGCTTGATGGGGTGTGTCTCAATGAAATCACAGCCTGTTTCTCACAGAAATCCACAAAAACTCCATCAGTCACACTTTTATCCATCTCTAATTCCGTAAAAAAGGACAAGTTAATTCCTTGTGCTAGCTCAGTATATTGAAACAAGACTGAAAATTTTAGTTAGAATTCATATCAAGTGTTTAAAAGCATAAAACATATTGCAGATCAAAGTCAGTGCTTGTCTTTGTATTTCTGTTAGTTCTGGAATTATTGCAAAATACTATTTCCTGAGCTGGGAAGTTATGCTTTGCACATGCTTTATTCATAGGGCTGAATACTATTTCACAGTAATTTTCTTCCAGGTTTGAGGAGGTAATGTAAACAGCATTGAATTTGCAATTATTTTTAAAGTTGGTATTGGAGCAAAAGATGTAAAAAAAGAGACACTATATATTTCACTGTTAGCAAGCTGTTGCAGTATAAG